CTCAGCATAGAAAAACGTCACCTTCACACTCGCAATTGCCGCCAATGAATTCATTGCGCAATACCGCTCTGAGATGCAATACTTCCTGGTGCCATCCGGGTCCCTTGTCGACACATTCATGCGGGTGGGCGCCCATCCATTCCTCCCAATGACGGTGCATGTCTGCGACGCACCCTCTGCTCCAAAAGGCACGTATCTCACAACAGCCGCGATCGACTTTGCCCTGTCCGCACGCATCGCCTTGTCAGAGGAGCAGGAGTACGTCAGGCTGGCAGCAAAGCACCCGCCAGCACAACACATCACAACCAGAAGCACCAGCAGCACCGCAGACCGTGGGGTGACGTGGATCAACTGAAACATGCTGTACGTTTAAAAAAAATACTTCATGGTTTGGAAAGAATAACAAACACTGACAATATCTCAAAGGAAAAGAAAAAACGAAAAAGAGAATTTAGGCGTCCGCAGTCAAAAAAAAAACACCAATTCAAAAAAAAAGTAATGGGTGCACTCAACCAAAAAATAATGAAAAACAAAACAAAAAGCCGAAGCGTGGGACGACCAGCGCACACACACTCTCATTGCTCCCGTAAAGCAAAACACACACACGGGGAGAGAGAGAGAGGTCGCCCACTCAGTGCAATAAAAACAAAACAGAAACAGTTACGGTGCTCCGCCCATGCAGCCAGGCAGGACGGCAGCGGTGCGTGTCGTGCAAAAGAGAGCACCAACGGGCCTGCATGGGTGTGCATGCATATATACAATGGGCACATTATGTGTGTGCCTCGTGGGGTGAGGTGAGGGCGAGAGTCCATGCAAGGGGACACACAGAGAGAGAGAAGGAAGAGTGTGTGTGCGGGCGGTGCACGGCTCTCTCTCCCTCACTCTCACGCGGCCACCACCGCAGCAGCAGCTGCACACGCAAAAAGAAGAAGCAAAAGAGGGGAGGTGGTGTGGGGGACCGCGGTGCTGCCGTCACTGTCGCCAGTCGTCGCCGTCGTAGTTTTCATGGCTGTGGCTTCGACTGGTGTTTCCTTCGGATTGGCATCTTTATTTTCATTTTGTTTTCCCTCTGGTGTCCCTGCACCATCAGCTGCTGGGTCATCGTCTCCAGTTGTTTGGGTGCTGTTGGGATTTGTTTTATTCGATGCTCCTGCCGCACCAGGAGATAAATTTGGCTGCTCTTGACCGCCTGCTGAGGTCACCTCTGTGGTGCCGGTACCAGCTTCTTCTTTCTTTGTCTCTTCTTCTTCCGTACCATCCTCCTCCTCTTCCTGCCTTTTCTCCTCTTCTTCTTCCTCTTGCTTCTCTTCTTCCTCTTCATTCCCTCCGTGTTCCTCTTCCTCTTCTTCCTTTTTTTTAACTTCTGTATTTTGAACCATGCTGTCCTTCTTTGTACTTGGCGTTTCTGATGCTCCTCCGGATTGTGTTCCCTGTGACGGTCTCGCTGGCACTTCCGGTAATCCTGACGCCGGTGGTGCGGGTGCTTGTGGCACTGCCTGCTTACCGGTTTGGACACCTTCTCCAGCGCCACCTGTGGAATTGTTGTCGCTTTTAGAATCATTGTCATTAACGGGCGGAGTACCCGAAGAACCCGGAGAACCTGGAGTTGTTTCAGAACATCCACCACCGCCGGCACCGCACCACAGCACGCAGAGGGCACACACCAGCAGCACACGGCCAGTCATCGTCATCACGGCTGCACACACAGTCTAGGGAGGGACACAGAGAGGAGGAGGAGAAGAACACACACACATCAGCAGCATGGAAAAGGAGGAGTAGCGTTTGCATGAGGGTTGTTACCATGAGCATGGGGAACGCGTGCACGCAGGAAGAACAGGCAACAATGAAACACCGGACAGCACGGCACACAACTCCACGGCATGTAAAACCCACCCGCAGCTGCCCCAAAGTGGACGGGAAAAAGGGCGCAACAGTACGGCAAGAACACAGTGATGCCGGTGCAGAAAAGGATCCCAAGCCGGCGTAAAAAAGAAACAAAAAACAGTCTTCCCCCACAGCGGCCACATCCAACAGCGCAAGTAATAATAACAGAAACAAACACCACACACGGCAACTCGCAGCGGCAGTGAGTTCCCTGTCGCCAATCTTCATGGCTGCACGCTACCGAACTCCTCGTGAGTCCATCGCTCCGCTGCCTTCCTCCTTCCCGCGGCTCCCCCGCACGAACAGCCACGGCACACAATCGGGTCCATCCACACCCGTCGCCACGCCGCCCTCAACGACCCAACAGTCAACCGCCCAAAAACCGTTGCGGAAATCACACACCCGCAACAAACCACGCGACGCAACATCATGTCACGTGGACCCCGCCGTCAGAAGAACGTCACGCCAACCGTTTGGTCGGCACACGGTACAATCAATCAACAGAACAGAGAAGTAAGGCAGGCACTCAATCAAGGACTCTCCACGCACACAATGCTCTTTTGATGCCGCCGCTGCTGCCACGGGCACGGTACCCGAGCGGAAAATGACACGCGGTAGAAAAGGCCTCGCAAGAGAGAAACAACCCACACGTCCATACGCAAAGCGCCACTCAGGCTGCTGCGGCTGCAGGGTCTGTGGGCAGAAAAGCGCCTTACTGAATCCCGCCAGTTATGTCAGTCTCCCCTCCCACCAATGTAGCGCATAATCCACGGCGTGCGTCCACAGGCATCCACTCCCGGTGCCCTAGCAACACTTCAGAACACACATAACGGAGAAGGGAAGTATCATTACACAATGCCAAAGCAGGCAAATAAAAATAGGGAAATCAGACCACACAGATCCCTCGCACACGCACAAAAACACCCCACAGTATCCTCCAGAAGAAGTCAAACAATTTCTTATCCCAACCCATAATGCACGCGTGGTGCCGACAAATCAGCGAACAACACAAAAGAGGGAGAGTGCATACAGCATGTCCCTGGTACAAAGTATACGGACAAGCAGAGCATGTATATACTGATAGGGACATGCCAGTTGATATAGGCCTTTCTCTCTTGCACCCACTGCTGAGTGTTGGCACCGCGGCGGCAGCGGCAAGCAGAAGAATCAGCGGAAAGGGAAAAGCAGCAGCCGCACTGTTATTGCCGTGGATCGGAGGCGAGGCGTCCTTCATGTCTGTCTCCTAACCCCCGCACCCCATCGCCGCATCATCCTCCCACGGCGGAGGGTCCACGGCGCCCTGCGCGGCATCAGCGGCATCAGGGCCCTTGGGTCCCGTGGCTGTGGCACCGCCACCGGCCTTGTCGCTGGCGGCCTCATCTCCTAATGATTGTCCGACAACAGACGCCACACCATCGGCGGCCACATCGTCGCTGTCCGGAAGATCGCGCTCCTTCTCCGCCTCCTGCGGCGCACCCGCGGTGTCGCTGGGCAAGCGCACTCCGTTGTCGTCGTGGCACCGGAGGCGACTTCCTTCTCCTCTGGCGACGGATGCTTCTGGGGAGCAGCCGTGTCCACATACTTCGGTGGTGTGCCACGGCCGGTCCCAATGCTCTCTGGATCGGGGACGGATGCCCGTAGCAAAGCTTGTTCAGTAGATGCCAGTGAAACCGTCCTGCTCCACATACCCTCTCACATCGCCACCCCACGAAACTATTGGAAGCAGCCTGCCGCTGGTGACGGATATCGTGCACACCCGCGCGTGGTCACGGAAAATAGCTTTTCCCTCGTCGTAGGGCGGAGCAACCCACGTAATCGTCGCCTCGGCCGTGCATGGGGCACAACGGGCGTTACCCTCTTCAGTCACTCTCAGACGCACCCGCATGCCGAGGCACCGCAATGCCGCATGCATGACAGCACCGAGATGTATGTTTCTTCAGGGTCCCTCGCATCCGTCGTGTTGGTGGGAGGCGTGTCCAGGCACCACGAAGAGGGCTTGTCCCCAGGCACCGCAGACAAACATTCTCCCCTCCAAATAACAGCGGCAGCATTTCTCACATCCAGTGCGGGACCAGTGACGGGGCAACTGTCCATCGGGCGTTTTGCTGGCCCTTCATGGATAATTCGTCTACACACCAACCACCGGAATACCGATCCAACGTGCAGCGTCTGGCATGAACGCCCGCTTCGCAGAACATCTGGGGATATTCACTCATGTTCGGTGCGGAGCACTTCCTCTGCAGCAGCGCACAGCACGAATTCCTTCACCAGCGCATCGGCTCCGCCATCTCCCACTTCACCCTCATGCAGCCAAGATCAGCCGGTGCGGCCAGCGTCAGCTCCGTGCGGCAGCCGGCACAAACAATCGGTGCCATCCACTCATCCTTCGCGTGGCGCTGCGACCAGTGCGACTCCAGCGTCCTCCCGTCACCATCGCCATCCTGCAGCTCCATGCCATCAATGTCGTCGCAGTCGTGGTGCTCCTCGCAGCCATCACGGTAGTCGTCGAGTGCACCACCACCGACAGCGCTCTGCCACGCACAGCACCATGTCAGCATTGGCAACACCAGTGGAACAATGCCCAGCACGCACCGTAAACCGACTGCAAACGCTGCCTGTGGCAAATGGGGGCACAATCAAAGGACCCTCCAGTGGCTGCACAAGCAGACAATCCGCATGCAGTTTGAAAGCAGCAGGGACAACTTCATTCTCGAGAATGATCCCGTGCGCAGAGGATACAAAGTCACCTTCACACTCGCAATTGCCATTCAATGAATTCATTGCGTGGTACCTCCCTGAGATCCAATACTTCCCGGTATCATCCAGGTCCCTTGTGGATACGTTGATGCGGATGGGCATCCATCCCTCCCAATGGCGGTGTATGGCCGCAGCGCACCAACTGCTCAAAAAGGGTGCGTCCCTCACAACAACGCGGATCCAATTCGCCCTGTCGGCACGCATAACATATTCAACAAATCGAGGGTACGTCAAAGTGACAGCAAAGCACCCGCTGGCAATCACACCACAAACACCATCACATGCAGCAGCACCAGCGTCTCAAACTAATGTGGGGTGTAGAGCAAGTAAGCCATTGATGTGGGTGTTAGGCAAATATTTCGTGGCTCGCTGAAGCAACAAGGACCGATTGCGTGGGAAGAAACAAAGAACAGGAGGATACAAAAGGGAAAATTCAGCCCTCCGCAATTCAGAAGAAAACCAATCAATGAAATTAAAATGGGTGCACCCAACCACAACACAAGCAGAGATTCAAAACAAAGAAAAACAAAAAGCCGAGGCGTGGGACGACCAGCACACACACTCCCATTGCTCCCGTAAAGCAAAACACACACACACAGGGAGAGAGAGAGAGAGAGGTCGCCCACTCAATGCAATAAAAACAAAACAGAAACAGTTACGGTGCTCCGCCCATGCAGCCAGGCAGGACGGCAGCGGTGCGTGTGGTGCAAAAGAGAGCACCAACGGCCTGCATGGGTGTGCATGCATATATACAATGGGCACATTATTGTGTGTGCCTCGTGGGGTGAGGTGAGGGCGAGAGTCCATGCAAGGGGACACACACAGAGAGAGAGAGAAGGACGAGTGTGTGTGCGGGCGGTGCACGGCTCTCTCCCTCACTCTCACACGGCCACCACCGCAGCAGCAGCCGCACACGCAACAACAAGAAGAAGGAAAAGAGGGGAGGTGGTGTGGGAGACCGCGGTGCTGCCGTCACTGTCGCCAGTCGTCGCCGTTGTAGTTTTCGTGGCTGTGGCTTCGACTGGTGTTTCCTTCGGATTGGCATCTTTATTTTCATTTTGTTTTTTTTCTCGTGTCCCTGCACCATCGGCTGCTGGGCCATTGTTTGAGATGCCGTCTTCAGTGCTATTGTCAGCTTCATTATTGGAAGCATCACCGTTTGCCGTGGGTGAAGGTAGCCCTGATTCTGCATGGTCGGCAGACGGTTCATTGTGTTGATTGGCTGCGATGGTGGCAGCGGTCTTTGTTTGTGAGTCGTTTGACTCAATGCCGTCTTGGGGTTGTTGTAGCTGTTGCACGTCTCCCGAATCCTCAGCGCTGGAATGTCCATGCAATGATGTTGTTGGTATTGCTGTTTTTGCTTCTGCCTCTTCGGCTGGTGCTGCTGTTAGTGCTGGTGCCTCATTACTTGTGTTTTCTGTATTTAATTCGTTTTGTTTCACCAGCTCTTCCGCCTTCTCTTCACGACTGTCGGATTGGCTAAGACGATCCCCTTCGTCATCTTCCGGTGAATCATCGGAGGGTTCATCACTCTCTGAGGTATTCTCCAATTTGTGTTCTTCACCGTTCCGAGCGCCAGGGCTGCCAGGTAAAGAAGAGGAAGGAGATGGTTGATCGACAGTTTGAAGTTTGGGCCCAGTTGCCTTACCGTCGTTGCGATCCTCCTTATTACCTGCTTTTCTTCCAACAGCTGGACCCAATTCTTCTTGTTTTCCCTGCTGTCCTTTTTTATCTGATCCTTTAGGATTCGGCGGTAGTCCTGCTGCTCCCGCTGCTGCTGTTGCTGGACCTGCAACACCGCCTCCTAAACCAGCCGCTCCAGTGGACTGCGTATTATCGTCCAATTTATTATTAGGTGATGATTCCTCCGTATCCTGAGATGGGTCTGGAACACCACTCAATCCTTCTTCTACAGCTTCCACAGCCTCAACCGCCTTTATTAATGCCATTCGAGTGGATAACAGCCCGCAGTCCGCCTTTAGAGACACGCCGTCATCTCCACCATTACTCGCGTGCCTCAAACCGTCCCCTCCGCCCTCACTGCAGTAATCCTCCATCGCGTGTCCAAACACCGCACCACACCACAGCACGCAGAGGGCACACACCAGCAGCACACGGCCAGTCATCATCGCCATCACTCCTGTCACTTGCGTGCAGCCTTCAGCACAAACTAAAATACACGTCAACGCAAAGCAAGAATAAATGGAAGGATGCACACAAGAAAAAGAACAGTAAAAAACACCAGCAGCAGCAGCA